ATGAAGAACCCGTTAGCAAAGCAAAACAGAGCCGGAGCGAGAAGAAAGCACGGAAGGTGAGGTGGGATTCAGGGATGGATGGCGCAGCGTGGGCCGGTGCCGGGTGTCTGTCCCTCTGGGAGCTCAGAGGTTTGCGTGACTCTGGCCCTCGGGTGAAGGGATGCAAATTCCTGGTGGCTGAGGGGCTCAGGGTGGTGCTGGGAAGTGAATTCCCTCCCTGGCTCCCGGCTAAAAGCCTGGGAATGCTGCTCTGCAGCAGGAAAGCCACACCGTTTGAGGCACTGATCTGTGGGCACAGGTGTCTGGAGAACACATGAGCAGGGATGGGTTGAAGGGAGGAGCTGTGGCTGCCCCATCCCTGGCCGTGTTCAATGCCAGGTTTGGCACACGTGCTTGGAAGGTGTCCCTGCCCGTGGCAGGGGGTTGGGACTGGAGGAGCTTTAAGTTCCTTTCCAACCCAACCCATTCCATGATTCTACGAGCAGACACATTCCTCGGGCTGTTCTGTCTCAATAACTCCTTTCCCTCACTCCCATTTCTCTCCTGGTTCTTCAGGCAATGTCTAAGCTGGGCCTTCGCCAGGTGACAGGAGTAACCAGAGTCACCATCCGGAAATCCAAGAACATCCTCTTTGTTATCACAAAGCCAGACGTGTACAAGAGTCCTGCTTCAGACACCTACATAGTCTTTGGGGAAGCAAAGGTGACCCGACCCTGCCCAGTGCTGGTGGCCACCAGTGGGGGTTCCTCCTTGCCATGGGGCTCATCCCGTGGCAGAGCTGGATGCACTGGGATGTGTGGGGATTGTGGCTCTCCGCGTCCTGCTCTGCCTCACTTCTCTTTCTTCTCTCTGCCAGATCGAGGACCTGTCCCAACAGGCCCAGTTGGCGGCTGCTGAGAAGTTCAAAGTGCAGGGAGAGGCCGTTTCAAACATCCAGGAGAACACACAGACCCCCACGGTGCAGGAGGAGAGTGAGGAGGAAGAGGTGAGCTCTGCCTGGCTGGTGCTTCAGGGTGTGGATGCCACACCCCCGAGCTGGTTATGGTTTCCCCATGGCAAAGGGACAGGGCAGGGTCAGGAGCAGGCCCCATTGCCCTGGTTTCCCTCCCAGCTTCTCTTGTCTGTGGCCTGGGAGCTTGGAGGAGC